AGAGAGAGAGAGAGAGAGAGAGAGAAAGAGAGAGAGAGAGAGAGAGAGAGAGAGAGAGAGAGAGAGAGAGAGAGAGATGGGCGACATTGGGATTTGACGACATTTGGGTTCAGACTCAACATCGGGATTCAGACCTTTGGCGAGGGATTATTTGGGACTGTATCGAAGACTTGGTGTTGACGACATTTCCATCTTCCCCCTCTCCTTCGTCTAATCCCCCTCTTCTTCGTCTGTGTATGATCGGGGACTGACGCATTCTTCCTTTGTGAGCATCAGCCCCCCTCCACAACATGGAATGATGATGATGCATGTTTGGTCTGCATGGCAGCTTGATTGATCAGATCATTGGTATTTAAGCCTTCCGTTGTGCTATCTTGTATCTGGCGAGAAAGGTCGGTTCTTGGTCTGGTCTGTACCGTTAGGGTATGCAACATCAAGCTCCTGCTGTCAACAAGTTACAGGGTCAACACCCCAGCACGGGCCAGTGTCGTTCTGGCATTGAACAACCGCAGGTCCATGAATAAAACAACATCAAAAATCACCTCCAGGAAATTGCAAGGAGTCCCAAGAGCCTAAAAACGTGCTACCACAACCACCGAGAACAATCACAACCTCTAGAGGATAGCCATATTTGAACACATCGCTCGTTGGGTTTTTTATTTTTTTGACGAGATAGGACATGAATGACACACAAGAAAATTGAAAGCAAAAAATTTGAACCGAAACCACCGACTAGCAAACTTCCCACGCAACAATTGGAAAAAACAAAGTCCCAGTGATCAGTCCTCGAACCTAAACGCGGTTGGTCTTATTACCCCCTATGCTAGGGTTACAGGCCACCACCATACCTCGGTACCGACCAGCCTGGTATAGACGGCAAGGAAAGCCTTCCTCCCTCGACTACTCCCATTAGTCGGAGGCCCTAGGTGACAGGGATAAAACCCTAGCAACGGTTGCGTCGAACGTGGTGGTTCTGCCTTCCTCCCTCAACAGACTCGGAGCTCCCCAAGCCTCACGCTCCCCCAGGATAGAGAGCAACGTTCCAGCACCGGCCTGCATCGTCCCAACCACGTCCTCCTGACCTACTGACGAAGATTAAGGCCCTTCCCCTGTTACACCCCCATAGAAACTTCGCACCCGTTCGTGCAAATAATCTGCTTCCCTTAATCATATGTTTTTTGGCTACCTGCTAAAAAAAATTAAAATATAAAACCTAGGTGACAATTTGCAGAGCAGTCAAGGAGACTATAACAACCCTACTCAGGCTCGCCAACGCAACCATACTCTATGCCTTAGTCTGGCCAGCCTCACACCCCCACCGCCAGGTCACAGGACAACACAACTCACCCCAACTCCGACCGACATCCTCCAAGCAACAACCCTTTATTATACTGTGAGATGCCCGCCTGTGACGGAACGGCCGGGATGGCGGTCCGTCAAGATCAACACAAAGGGTTGAAGAAGGAGGAGATGGAGATGGAGCTGGAAGAGATAGCGCAACTCCGACGCAGACTCAAAACACACGTAGTCCAAAGTGTGCCAATGCAGAATGAAACAGAATATAGACTACAGCTGGGGTATACCCCAGCGGACTGACTGGACTGAACTGGACTGGACTTGTACCAATAGTGGTACTGGGCAGGACTGGACTGGACTGAAACAGCACACGGCCTGTGGGGTCAGGCCATGACCTGGTCCCACAGGCCGAATAGGCAAATAACCGAATAGGCCCTGGTTGTAGGCCAGGGCAGATAGAGGCCCGCTGCACGATCCTCAAACCTGTAGTGGATCGCAAGAGCCATAGATACGCTATCCGCAAAAGCAGTGGAACTCTGCAACAAGGAAAGCTAAGAAATCTAGGATGCGCTTGCGGAGTCCATGCGATGTAGCCTAAGCTACATAATGTCACTAGCTTAGCGCCCGCGGTGCGGGCAGTGCGAGCAATGTCCGCACGTAAAAGAGCAGAGAGGCTAGTCAATCATGAACATTGTGTCAAGATCTTGACTCACCACCCACCAAACCCGCACCGGGCCACTAAGAAATGCGCATGAATGTATTGATTTTTATATATACTAAGGAATATATGTATTTTTTTTTTTTTAATTCAAGTAGCAGGAGGGGGGGGGCTCCGCCCCCCCCCCCCACTTCGGGCTTGGTTCCACATCATGTTGCACCACACGCAAAACCCAAAATGTGGCAGCTAAGAAGTGCGCATGAACAATTTTTTTTT